GTGGAGTCTGCATATGTTGCCCAAGCTGGTCTTGAACTCCTGGCCTCAAGTGATATTTCTGCCTCAGCCTCCTCAAATGCTGGGATCACAGGAATGAACCACTGCTCCTGGTCTTTACTGGCCGGGCTCATGCCTATAATCCTAGCACTAGGGAAGGCCAAAGTGAGCAAATGAACCCAATTAGAGACCAGCCAGGGCAACATGGTGAAAACCTGTCTCTACAAAAAAATACCAAAATTAGCTGAGTGTGATGGTGTAGTCCTAGCTACTAGGGAGGCTGAAGTGGGAAGATTGCTTGAGCCTGTGGAGGTCCAGGCTGTGGCGAGCTGTGATCATGCCTCTGCACTCCAGCCTGGGCAACAGAATAAGACCGTGTCTCAAAAAACTAAAACAATTAGTAGTGAATATTCTATTTCAAATAGTGGAATGCATAGAAAAAGACTCACTTCAGTGTTTATTGTTATTTCAGACGAAAACCTTGTGTGACTGAGCTCAAGAGCAGTGCATCCAGATTCTCCTCAGAAGTGAGACTTTCCAAAGGACCAATGACTCTGTTTCCTGTGCCCTTTCATTTTTTCCTACTCTATAACTATGTCTCGATCCCGCCATGCAAGGCCTTCCAGATTAGTCAGGAAGGAAGCTGTAAACAAAAAAAAGAAAAACAGTCAACTGCGAAAGACAACCAAGGCAGCCAACAAAACTGTGGCATCGGTCAAGACTTTCAGCCCTGGAAAATTGAAACAATTAATTCAAGAAAGAGATGTTAAGAGAAAAACAGAACCTAAACCACCCATGCCAGTCAGAAGCCTTCTGACAAGAGCTGGAGCAGCACGCATGAGTTTGGATAGGACTGAGGTTCTTTTTCAGAACCCAGAGTCCTTAACTTGCAATGGGTTTACAATGGCGCTACGAAGCACCTCTCTTAGCAGGCGACTCTCCCAGCCCCCACTGGTCATAGCCAAATCCAAAAAGGTTCCACTTTCTAAAGGTTTAGAAAACCAACATGACTGTAATTATAAGATACTCCCTGATTTGGGAGCAAAGCACTCAGAAAATGATTTGGTTCCAGTGAAAGACACCCAAGTCCTTCCTGATATGGAGACTCTAATTGATGTACAAAATTCCTGTTTAATTAAAGGTAAGAGCCAAGAGACAACTCAGTCTTGGTCCCAAAGAGTTGAGGATTCCAAAATCAATATCCCTACCCACAGTGGCCCTGAAGCTGAGATCCTTCCTGGGCCACTGGAAGGGACACGCTATGGTGAAGGACTATTCTCTGAAGAGACATTGAATGATACCAGTGGTTCCCCAAATATGCTTGCTCAGGACACAGTGTGTGCTCCTTTGCTCCAAAGAGCAACGCCCAAAGTTACCTCTCAAGGAAACCCCAGCATTCAGTTAGAAGAGTTGGGTTCAAGAGTGGAATCTCTTAAGTTATCTGATCCTTACCTGGATCCCATTAAAAGTGAAGATGATCGCTACCCCACCTCCAGTATTGATAAGGTTATACCTGAATTGAACCTTAGAAACTGCTTGGCTCTTGGTGGGTCTACGTCTTCTACCTCTGTGATAAAATTCCTCTTGTCAGGCTCAAAACAAGCAACCCTTGGTGCTAAACCACCTCATCAAGATTTCAAAGCTACTTCAAATGAACAGGAAGTTTCCGATACCACCTCTGTTCTAGGACAGGCCTTTGGTGCTATCCCACACCAATGGGAACATCCTGGGGCTGACCCAGTTCATATTGAGGCCCTGGGTGAGACCCCAAATCCACCCGAGATTCCTGGTGCTATTCCAGCCCAAGGAGAGGTCTTTGGTACTATTTTAGACCAACAAGAAACTCTTGATATGAATGAGGGTGTTGTCCCAGACTTGCCTGTTTTCCTTCCTGTTCCTCCAAATCCAATTGCTACCTTTAGTGCTCCTTCCAAATGGCCTGAGCCCCAAAGCACTGTCTCATATGGACTTGAAGTCCAGGGTGCTATACAGATTTTGCCTTTGGGCTCAGGACACACTCCTCAATCATCATCAAACTCAGAGAAAAATTCATTACCTCCAGTAATGGGTATCAGTAATGTTGAAAATGAGAAACAGGTTCATATAAGCTTCTTGCCAGCTAACACTCAGGGGTTCCCATTAGTCCATGAGAGAGGACTCTTCCACGCTTCACTGGGTGTTGCCCAACTCTCCCAGGCTGGTCCCAGCAATTCAGACAGCGGGAACTCCCAGGTCAGTGTAACCAGCACAATTCATGTTGTGAACACTGCAGTGGTGACTATGCCAGTGCCAATGGTCAGTACCTCCAATTCTTCCTATACCACTTTGCTGCCCACTTTGGAAAAGAAGAAAAGAAAGCGATGTGGGGTCTGTGAACCCTGCCAGCAGAAGGCCAATTGTGGTGAATGTACTTACTGCAAGAACAGAAAGAACAGCCATCAGATCTGTAAGAAAAGAAAATGTGAGGAGCTGAAGAAGAAACCATCTGTCATTGTGCCTCTGGAGGTAAGCAGACAGTCAAGGGGCTTGGAGACAGCTGACACTTGGTAAAGTGATCTGTATGTAGAGACAATTTGCTTCACTATTACATATTTTTCCTTTGGTACAATGTTACTTTAAGTGATTCATAAAAGAATTACTGGACCTACCTGAAGTATGTCTTGTGCAGTGATGCCGTAGCTTGCTTATTTTTAGAATTTGTTCTAGAAAACTGGAACATACAGTTTTTTTTTTTTTCATTACAGGATTTGATGGAAACATAGAGAAACTGTATGAAATGTGGTTTTGCAAAGATTTCCCCATGCCTCTTTTGGCTAGTTGCATGTCTTTTTTGGCAGTCACAGATTTAAAAATTAAGAGTGGAACAAATTCATTAACTCCATAGCAGCCTGAAAAACCAGAGGTATTAAACATCTTTCCTTTTGAAAGAATACAGTTGCATCCCTAATCTTGAAACTTTGCTTTGGAGGCATAGCAATAATACAGCTTTTGTCTCAGCTTTTGATGATTTCTACCTGCTCTACTAACTTCATAGGGTTGTTGGGATTAAAGAAAAATGGCTTGTAAACTCCAAAGTGATATACAAACTAGTTCTTATTATAGTTTATGAACCTAAGGTAGTAAAAGGATCTGTTGATTTAGAATTTATTTAAAAACTTTTAGGGAACTTGGTTAAAATTTACTGTTGCTTTTTCAGCCTTTTAAAACACCTGTCAAATATGATGTTTTATGATTTTTAGATCACACATTAAAGTTATCTTGATTATGTCTACTACAAATGCAGGTACAGTAGAATAGATGGAGTTAGAAGTATTGTAGGATGGGTATGGTGGCTCACAGCTGTAATCCTAACACTTTGGGAGGCCAAGGTGGGCAGATCACCTGAGGTCAGGAGTTTGAGACCAGCCTGGCCAATACAGCAAAACTCCATCTCTACTAAAAATACAAAAAGTAGCTGGGTGTGGTGGCAGGTGCCTATAATCCCAGCTACTCTGGAGGCTGAGGCAAGAGATTCACTTGAACCCAGGAGGCAGAGGTTGCAGTGAGCCAAGATTGCACCACTGCACTCCAGCCTGGGCCACCAGAGCAAAACTCCATCTCAAAAAAATAAAATAAAATAAAAATAAAAAGTATTGTGGCTGGGCATGGTGGTTCACACCTGTAATCCCAGCACTTTGGGAGGCCCAAGCAGGTGGATCGCTTGATGTCAGGAGTTCAAGACCAGCTGGGGTGAAACCCCATCTCTACTAAAAATACAAAATTAGCTGGGCGTAGTTGTGCATACCTGTAGTTCGAGCTACTCCAGAGGCTGAGGCAGCAGAATTGGAGGTGGAGGTTTCAGTGAGCTGTGATCACACCACTGCACTCCAGCCTGGACAACAGCGAAACTCCATCTCAAAAAAAAAAAAAAGAATAAATAAATAAAAATATTGGGAGGCTAGTCATGGTGGTTCACATCTGTAATCCAGGAACTTTAGGAGGCTGAGGTGGATAGATCACTTGAGGCCAGGAGTTCGAGACCAGTCTGGTCAACCTGGAGAAACTCCATCTCTTCTAAAAATACAAAAATTAGCCAGGAGTGGTGGTGCATGCCTGTAATCCCAGCTACTCAGGAGGCTGAGACACAAGAATCACTTTAGCCTGGGAAGCAGAGGTTGTAGTGAGTGGAGACTGTGCCACTGCACTTCAGCAGGGGCAACAGGGAGAGACCTTGCCTCAAAACAGCATTGTGAGATTTAAGCCAGGCATGGTGGCTCATGCTTGTAATCCCAGCATTTTGGGAGGACCAAGGCAGGAGGACTTCCTGAGCCCAGGAGGTCAAAATCAGCCTGGGCAATAGAGCAAGACCTTGTCTCTACTAAAGGTACAAAACTAGCTGGCTGTGGTGGCACACTCCTGTAGTCCTAACTACTTGGAGGCTATAGTGAAAGGGTCGCCTAAGCCTGGGAAGTCAAGGCTTCAGTAAATAGTGATCACGCCACTGGATTCCAGCCTGGGTGACAGCAATGAGACTCTATCTCAAAAAAAAGGATTGTGAACATAAAATTCAGTAAGCCATTTATATTTCTTTTTTGTTTTTCTTTTCTTTTTTTTTTTAATTTGAGATAGAGTTTCACTCTTGTTACCCAGGCTGGAGTGCAATGGCGCGATCTCGGCTCACCGCAACCTCCGCCTCCTGGGTTCAGGCAATTCTCCTGCCTCAACCTCCTGAGTAGCTGGGATTACAGGCACACGCCACCATACCCAGCTAATATTTTGTATTTTTAGTAGAGACGGGGTTTCACCATGTTGACCAGGATGGTCTCGATCTCTTGACTTCCTGATCCATCCGTCTCGGCCTTCCAAAGTGCTGGGATTACAGGCTTGAGCCACCGCGCCCGGCTTGTTTTTGTTTTCTTTTGTGAGACAAAGTCGCACTCTCTCACTCAGACTGGAGTGCAGTGGCACAATCTCAGCTTACTGCAACCTCAGCCTCCCAGGTTCAGGCGATTCTCTCTTGCTTCTTCTGCCTCCCATGTAGCTGGAATTACAGGCACCCACGACCATGCCTGGCTAATTTTTGTATCTTTAGTAGGGACAGGGTTTTGCCACGTTGGCCAGGCTGGTCTCCAACTCCTGACCTCAGATGATCCACCTGCCTCAGCCTCCCAAAGTGCTGGGATTACAGGCATGAGCCACCGTGCATGGTCTTCTGTTTCATTCTTGATTTAAATTATCGGTTTAAACATGCTGATTTTGGCTGCTCATTGGTGGTTCACGCCTGTAACCACAGCACTCTGGGAGGCTGACGGAAGAGGATCACTTGAGGCCAGGAGTTTGAGACCAACGTAGGCAACATAACAAGACTTCATCAGAAAACACATAGCTGGGCCGGGTGCGGTGGCTCACGCCTGTAATCCCAGCACTTTGGGAGGCCGAGGTGGGTGGATCACGAGGCCAAGAGATCGAGACCATCCTGGTCAACATGGTGAAACCCCGTCTCTACTAAAAATACAAAACATTAGCTGGGCATGGTGGCGCGTGCCTGTAATCCCAGCTACTCAGGAGGCTGAGGCAGGAGAATTGCCTGAACCCAGGAGGCGGAGGTTGTGGTGAGCCGAGATCGCGCCATTGCACTCCAGCCTGGGTAACAAGAGCGAAACTCTGTCTCAAAACAAAAAAAAAAGAAAGAAAACACATAGCTGGACTGGGCGGGGTGGCTCATGCCTGTAATCCCAGCATTTTGGGAGGCCAAGGTGGACAGATCACCTGAGGTCAGGAGTTCAAGACCAGCCTGGTCAACATGGTGAAACCCTATCTCTATTAAAAATACAAAAATTAGCAGGGCTTGGTGGTGCATGCCTGTAATCCCAGCTACTTGGGTGGTTGAGGCAGGAGAATCACTTGAACCCGGGAGGTAGAGGTTGTAGTGAGCCAAGATTCTGCCATTGCACTCCAGCCTAGGCAACAGAGCAAGGCTCCATCTCAAAACAGAAAAAAACACAAAAAACATAGCTGGGTATGTTGGCATGCACCTGTGTTTTCAGTTACGAGAGAGGCTGGGTTGGGAGGATAGCTTGAGCCCAAGAGTTCAAGGCTGCAGTGAGCTATGATGGCACCATTACATTGCAGCTTTAATGACAGAGCCTGACCCTGTCTCAGTAAATAAATAAATAAATAAAGCTGATTTCTTAATTGTCTGAGCCATTGCAAATGAGAGATCAGACAATCAATCATGTATTGATGGACATTTAAAGTGTTTCTAAAATACTTTGTTATTATTTTTTTAAAGACGGGGTTTCACCATGTTGGTCAGGCTGGTCTTGAACTCCTAATCTCAGGTGATCCACCCACCTTGGCCTCCAAAGTGCTTGGATTACAGGCATAAGCCACTACTTTGTTAATGAAAAATCTTACTGAACCTGTAATCCCAGCACTTTGGGAGGCTAACAGAAGAGGATTGCTTGAGCCCAAGAGTTTGAGATAAATAAACTGGGAAATATAATGTGACGTCCACCTCCACACCAAATTTCTATTTTATTCTATTTTATTTATTTATTTAATTTTGAGATAGAGTATTGCTCTGTTGCCCAGGCTGGAGTGCAGTGACGAGATCTTGGCTCACTGCAACCTCCTACCTCCTGAATTCAAGTGATTCTCCTGCCTCAGCCTTCCAAGTATTTGGGATTACAGGCAAGCACCACCATGCCTGGCTAATTTTTGTATTTTTCGTAGAGATGAGGTTTCACCATGTTGATCAGGCTGGTCTCGAACTCCTGACTTCAGGATGACTCACCCACCTCGGCCTCCCAAAGTGTTGGGATTATAGGCGTGAGCCACTGTGCCTGACCTTTGATTTTTTAAATAATATTTTTATTTATTTTTTTAAGCCCCAACCATGGCAAAGATAGAGTTTGAAGTTTTTAGCAAATTCTGATAAGAATTGTAATATTTAGTTGGGCTTTCGACAAGCCACCCATTAGGACTTTTTTTAAAAAATTTGAGACAGAGTTTTGTTCTTGTTGCCCGGGCTGGAGTGCAATGGTGTGACCTGGGCTCACCGCAACCTCTGCCTCTCGGGTTCAAGCAATTCTCCTGCCTCAGGCTCCCTAATAGCTGGGATTACAGGTATGCACCACCATGCCCAGATAATTTTGTATTTTTAGGATGGTGTTTCTCCATGTTGGTCAGGCCTTGAACTCTCAACCTCCCAAAGTGCTGGGATTAGAGGTGGCTCCACCACTCATGGCCTCCGTTAGGACATTTTGAGTAGCAAAATGAAGAAAGATCTCATTTGATGCTGAGTGATATACATGGGGAACATAGGGGATGGTTTTACTTTGAATAGTGTTGCTAAATTGCCAGTTTCTGGTCTAATTTGGGGTGCTAGGATTACAGGTATGAGCCATTGCACCCAGCTCCAAAATTAAAAAAAAAAAAAAAAAATAGCCGGGTGTGGTGGCTCATGCCTCTGGTTCCAGCTACTTGGGTCACTGAGGTGGGAAGATTTCGTGATCTTGGGAAGC